ACACACACACAACCACCCCCTCCCACCCCATCCCCCTCTTTCATCCCTCGACATACTCAAACCTCACACATTTATGAGACCATATCCTGGTAAATGCCTTGGGTGCAAGGTTCTCGGGTCACACATGTATTTGCAGAACAAAACAAAATTTTCTACCACGTGAAAAGGTGTCATGACGAGGTGGAATCAGATGCTCGTCAGTTTTGGGGCATATGGAGTTGTTGTTGTTCTTCTTCTTCTTCTATCCCGTGGTTGGGGCAACCGTGGGGGGCCCAACTGCATCTGAAAACCAGCTCTCGTCATCTATTTTTGTTCTCTGCTTTCCTCATATTGTCACCCATCGTCTTTCCTGTCCACTCTGTAATGTTATACTCCCATCTCCTTCTCTGCCTTCCTCTCTTTCTCTTTCCTTGTACGGTTCCTTGCACGTTTGTTTTGGCAAGCCCTGTGGATCTTGTGACATGCCCATGCCATTTTAATTTTCGTCTCTTCACTGTGGTCAGTAGATATTCATACTGACCCACTGCGTTGGTGATTCTCTTTCGTACCTCAGCATTTGAAACGTGGTCTTTTTACGAGATGTCATATGGAGTTGTTACTGTAACTTTTTTTAAATAAAAAAAACCCCATCTAGCTTGAATAGAAGTCGAGATATTTGAGATTGAAAGAGGTGTATGTCCGCTGGTGTCAGAGGTAAAAATTAGCGAGGGAAAAGCCGCCAAAGTTTGGTGACCACCAAAGCTGCAGTCTCCTTGGTAACTGCAAATTTACTTTTATTTCTTTTGTACCTTTGGTCAGCGTTCTGTAGTAAAACACAGGAAAGTATTTCTAAATGTCATGAAAAGTGTTGAGCCAAAAACAAAAAATCAATAGAAAAGGCTGAGCTCTCGGGAAAATGCCGGGCTCTTCGACTCCAATAGTTTGACAAGAGCCAGTTTTTACCACGATGCCACACATATTATGTACAGTGGAAACCAATATAACAGGCCCGGTAATAATAGGGATTTTTTTAATCCCCGTTTTTTCATACTCTTTGTCTCTATTAAAAGTTATCGGCAATAACAGGACCTCAACGGAGCCCAATCGGTTAAAGCAGGGACAAAGGCTCGTTAAGAATGTGTAAAAGGTAAGAGAGAGAGAGAGAGAGAGAGAGAGAGAGAGAGAGAGAGCAACGCAGTGATGGAGCAAGCTCACACAAGCCACGCCACTGCAAGCACACGCAGCGTGTGAAATGAAGAGGGCTGCGGTGTACTGCAGACTTCGATCTGGCCCTAAGCATAGCTGGATTAGTCCACAAATGCTTACTTACCTTGCATTTCTGACTTAACAGGAATCTGATATAACAGGACTTTTTCTCTGGTCAAACCATCCCTGTTATATCAGGTTTCCACAGTATATTATGCTTTAAGGGGGATGAAGTGATGAAAGGAGGATGAATATCGTATCATCTTCAGTTGTGAGTAGCCTAACCTTACAGGGTGCCGAAACGAATAAGACGTGTGTTTTATTTTACTATATAGTAGGAAAGTAGGAAAAGGTGAAAAGCTAGGCTTTTTGGCTGATATTTAGTTTGAGGAGGAATAGTCACTTCAGGTTCTTGGCCTGGCTCTGACTAGGAGACAAGGGGGAAATGTGGGAGGGATTTGTGGGCGGGGTGGGAGGGGGGGAGTAGGAAGATCAATTCTGAGAATGCGTACCCTTGGAGGTTTGTGGGAGTTATTTCATGATTGCAACACCCCTCTAGACACAAATAGATCTCTGTTGGGTCTGCAAGAAAGATGTAAAAAGTGGTACATGATCGAATTTTATAACATACATAATATAGGGGCCTACATCTTGACTTGGATGAAAATCCGTAGTATGCCTCAAGTATCGATGAAAATCCGTAGTAGTAGTAGTATGCCTCAAGTATGGCCTCCGACTCCCACATTGAGGGCATTTTCTGTAAGACCTTCGGTACCCGGAAAGTTTTCCCAGGCAATAAACTTCAATTCGTCAAGGTGGCAAAGTGTCAGTTTACACGAATTTGTAGTTATTTGTGTGTGTGTGTGTGTGTGTGTGTGTGTGTGTGTGTGTGTGTGTGTGTGTTTGTGCGTGCGCGCGTGGGTTTAATTTTTAGATAAAAGATCTGAAACAGACATCGACAACAATGGTTCGCCACTCAAATTTCTCTGCACAGATTGTTAGTTTAAAAAAGCAATCTCACAAAAAAACATAATGTCTGTGGTCTTCATTTGCGCACTCTGCAAGTAAAAGCGAAGGCAATAAACGAGAGCCTATTCAAACGAGGCTGTTGAAAGATTTTCAACAAATTCACAATGAGTAATTTATACCTCTATAGAGTTGTCAGTTGTCAGAAATTTCAATAAAAAAAATAATACCCTGAATCCACCACTTCTGTTTTTAAGCTGGTGAGCCCCCCTGTGAGAACGTGTATTTTTTGTGATCGATCGGATAGCAGGGTAGATCTAGATCTAGCTGAAGCGAAGAGTGACGTGTTCAAGCCCATTTTCAATAGCCTGCTTGGGACCATTAAATTTCGTGTGTTTTTAAAAAAAGAATGTGTGTATGTGTGTTTGTGTGTGTGTGTGTGTGTGTGTGTGTGTGTGTGTGTGTGTGTGTGTGAATGTTCAACAGTTTCCTAGCCACACATAGGCTTTGGTAAATTCCATGGTGGAGCAAAAAGGAAATAAGAAGAGGAAGAATATCCAGACTGTACTGTGAATTGCAATATACATTGCACATTTAAAAGTTAAAAAACTAGCTTATTTGGGGAGTAAATCAGAGTCGAGATTTTATTATCTTCAAATCATATCAATAACAAAAGGAAGAATTACTGGTTTCCTAGCTGAAACGACGTATTAAGCTATTTCACTAGGCCTAGATCTAGATGCTTTGCCTATCTTTTCACTATAATTCTCTCTCTTTGTTTCAAAACGTATCCAGACATTGTGAAATGGTGTATTGCATATTATTGAGATAATCTAGATCTAGTGATGTACGGTATGGTACACGGTACAGGAAGAGTTCAAAGTTTCCCGTTACACTGAGCCATGGCAGGCTGAGTAAATAATCATTAAAAAGAATTAAAATAGAAAAAACGAATAAGACTACCAAAGACACAAACAATCATAAAAGACTTATTTTATTATCATATTAATTTGCTACACCAAAATCAAATTTTTAAGAGGAAGTGGACTAAAAGTTAGGTGTTATCTCGTAGCATTTCAGTTTTTCCAAGCCCATAGTTTTATGGTTCTGAGTCTGATGATGATATGAACACGCAGTCGAACCGGACCTGCTGAAGGCGTATGCAACTCCATGTTATACGGTTAATACTTTCAGATACTACACTATTCGTTTAAGTCGGCTTTGTCCGAAATAAAACCTTTAAACGACGAACCGACAACCTCATTTCCTTGCGAAATAAAAACGAAAATAGTCAGAAGATATGCAATGTGCGATAAACAACGAGAGAGTCGAGCGGAAAGAACCCGCTGTTGTAATTGGTTGCCAGTGTGACAACCTGCCGGGTGACCTCTTCAACCCCCAGGTCTGAGGTCATGTAAACCGGAAGTCATGTTTCCAAGATGTCAACAAGCAGCGCAAAACAGAGTAACACGACTTTAGTAGTGTCGATTTAAACTGGTGAAAATAGGGGCTGCGGCGACGCATCCTTCAGGTGAGAAATATTTTCTTTTAGTAATTAAATTTCCAAAACTTTTTTTTCTCACCGCTCAGTAACTGATAGTGTGCTTGGTACGCAGTCGAAGAAGATTCTAGTTTTTACCCCTTCGTGCGAAAATAATTTCATTCAAATTCGCCTTACAACATGGCATGCTAGAATTTAATGGTGTTACTGTTTTTATTGGATCGACTGACCTGCTTCACAGATGTTCATTCTTTAGGTTCATTAACGTTTCGTTTACTCGTTAGTAATTGTGAATGTAGAGGTGCTGAGTATCCACTTTAAAAATTGTTTCTAAGGCTATTACTATTGATCTTTATCTAAATGGAATATTGCTTTCAAGATTGGCACTAAAAACAAACACGTCGTAGTGTAGATGCTACGTAGGCTAGGCCTCCCGTAAACAGATCTAAGTTGAATGCTGTGTTGTTAGTGATTCTAAGACAAGGGGCAAGGCAAGTGTTGTGCGTAGTTAACGTGTCTATAAACATAAGTTTATTTGTTTTTCAATGAAAAGTTGGGCTAAACCTGATTTTATTTTCAGAGATCTAGATCTAGATCTAGATTGGAAACTACTGTGTACTGTGTGTAAGGCGGTAGATCTATCAATTTATGATGGAATTCACAATTCAATAATAGTGTAATAGGGGGCGGCTACACTCCAGTTGTATTCTATTTTTTGTATTTAAGTAAGCTAGACCATTAAAGAACTCGTACCGCTGAGTGCTAGTTGTGTTCAGAATTATGTATCCACAGAAGCACTCATTTGTAAACCGATGTCAGCAATTAAAATGCATACACTTGCACTTGCAGAGACATCTTCCCTTCATTTTCAGTCATTGACACTAATCATCTTGACTCTATGATTCCAATGATCTTTGCCCAACCAGCAGATGCGGTGAGCGTATATTGGGGTGTGATTTATTTAGAGTGTAAGGAAAGATTCATAGTTTACACAACTGAATTTGCGGGACACATTTTTTTAAAGTCCAACTTTGTGGAGGAAAAATTACGTCTACGTGTTTTTAGTGCCGATTTTGCTCTTTGATACTAAACTTCTCAGGAGTTTTAAAAAGCAGTCTTTTGTTTTGATAAATATGGATTTGTTTCTGTAGAATAGAGTAGGGCCTACCTATTGAGGGATCGACAAACTGATCGCCAACCGATCGCCTGACTCGTCGCCTGAAAACAAACACATTTTTGTTTTTTAGGCGACAAGTCAGGCAATCGGTTTGAGCCATGATAGTCACTTTGCGCCCTCAATCTGACAGGCAAAGCAAACCGAACGGAACCGACCGTGCCAACGGGCACTAGAGGTATAAAGTCCTTGAAAGAGAGGATGCTTTGCTTGTTGACAGTCCAAAGCCGTACATTTTGTGTTACTCCTATTAGAATTGTACCGCCTCAGCTCTCGCAGCCTTTGTCAGGGAGCTGTTTATTTTATTTACTATATATATAGCTTGTTCGCTTTCGTCTGTCCGTGGTGAAAACAAGATAAAGACAAATTGCTCTGTTTAATCTTCTCAGGTCTTTGCATACACAGGTCTTGAAAAATTTGGATGACTTTAACAGAATCTAAAAGCTCATAAATGAAGTTAACTGCAAACTAACTAAGTTTCCATGTTGCTGTTTTTTATGTTCGCCAAAAGAGGGTAAAAAAAAATAGTAGAGGAATAATAGCACACACCTAAAGCATAAAAAGGTTTACCTATTTTCACCAACTCCACATTTTAACGATGCTTATGAAACTCGGTCCATCTACGTGTATGCTTGCACTGAAATGTGGGTGGCAGGGTGATGTTGCTGTTTCAAAATAAAGAATTTGTAGGTAATTTTACAGTAAATAATTTTTTTTTTTTTTTAAATGATCCTACGTATTCACCCAAAGGGAAGTGTTTAATGTAGGGCCCAAATAAACTTTTTTATTACTGGATCAACATTTTTAAAAAGTGTTTTTATTTAGTCACTGGCCTGCAGGAGTGCCATCCAAAGTTATGTGTGCGTTGGCAAATTAATAAATGGGCTATAATTTTTTAACTCTAAAAGACGAAAATGCACACAAGCAAGAATTTGTTACGTGGAATACTATTAGGTAGAGTAAAGCAAATGGTAATCATGAATCTCGCCTCCTTTCAATGTTGATAGAGTATATATATATGTGCAGCTCTCTATTGTTTGGTGGTTTGTATGATGCAAATGAATCTTGAGATTGAAAAGAAAAGAAAAAAAAGAATATCTCTGACGTGTATTTAAATACGTATTATAATAAAAAGTTACGGATTACGAACATGGGTAATTCACATTGTTGGCATTCTTTCATTCTCAGAAACAAAAAAGAAGAAAATATGAGTCTGGTTAAATGTATTATCCTCAGCAGCTGGTTTTTTTTTTCCTCTCAGCATTTTGAGCTCTGCGGGATAGAAATAAAATCGAACTTTGCATTTAGTAGGGAGGCCTGCAAGGCAGTGCAGATTGTATGAGCGACCATTATCATTTTTCTCAGACTTCACGGCTGAGCGAACAGTACTTTTCATGCATGAAAATGATTTGCATATTTATGCACTCTAGCTGTCAGATGTCATATATATATTGAAAAGGCAGGGCTGTACTCTTTGATGCAGTTATGGAAGAGAACCTCCACTTGTTTTACAATATCCTTTTTACTAACCGCTTCCTTCATCAAAAGAAAACAAGAAAACTTAAATTGAGAAATTATTGTGCGTCAGGTGTTCGCACATTGAGGTATACACATTCATTTCAAGTACCTTTCACTTTTATTCTAACCCTGTCCTGTTGTTTTGTGTCAGAGCGAGCATCCTTCTAGTGAGAAATAGTTTCTTTTATTCGTTAAATTTCCAAAACTTTTATTCTCACTGCTCATTAACCTATAGTGTAGATCTACTTGGTACGCAGTGAGTAATAGCTGCAGAAACTACCATTATAAAATCCATCATATACGAACCTGTCGTAAATACTTTACTTTTGTGGGTGGTTGGCGGGTGCTCTGGTGTGGTTTGCTTCTTCTTTTCGATCAAACGTCTATCGTCCTTATCTCTCCTCCTTCTTTTTTGTGTTTGTTATCTCTTGTAACACGTCTAATCTTCGGCACTTATATCACCTTATTGTGTTACAAGAGCCATAAAACACTTACTAAAACTAAAAGCCCAGGACCCACTTTTGAGGAACAGCTTGATACAAAAAAATTTTACTCTGTCCTGATCAGTCTCTGCCTTTCTACTGCGTACAGTCCAGGTCTTATAATGACTTGTATTTCTCATTTGATAAGTCTTTTTTTTCTCTCTGTTGTTTCTGTCACTCTGTCTTGCTCTTTCCTAGCACAAAATAATTGTTATGATGTCAATATGCTTCTCATTATTCAAACACTAAACCACACCCTATAAATTTGCTTCTGTTTGCTTTAAAAAATATTTTTTTCACCCCTGACGGTGGCTTTACAAGTGTGACTGTCAACACCAATATTTTCATAGATGATATTACTTGCTGTAATGCATATATGTGTGCACTCACATATTATATTCACTCGCACACAACCCCTCGGGGCAGTGCCACTAACTGTAGTGTCTTTAGGCCATTCCCAAAGGGGGGATGTTTCTCGTTCAAGCATAGTAGAATTGTAAATGGGCTGACTCATGTCACGCTCATAACTGTGCCTGATCTACATCAGGGAAGTTGTGCGTAGTTAACGTGTCT